TTATCTGAAAGCAAAGCTCAATGATCTTCATGTCCTTGTCTTTAAACCACACCCGAGATTATTCCCTTTCTTCTACTTAGAAACAAGAAATTTGTGTTTAGGAGACGAGGATCATTTTATGTCCTTTAAGATTTGAGTATTTTGATGAATGTATGGTATCAAAAAGATTGAAAGAATCCATAATAACTGGACAATCAGCACTAAGGTTTCATTTGCATAAGTCTCAAAGATTATATACTTGTGAGCCTTCCATATCTCTTCAGTATACCTCACATTTTTTTAATCCAGGTTTTCTTCTCCATGACTGTCAACTCTGAGTTTCCTCCTTGATCTCAGACGAATCTTATATTAATGCAGTCAGCCTAACAGAAGGTTGTCTTAAGTAGGATTCAAAATGTGTTATTAGTACATACTAACAATTGCCTGTTACGAACTCAAATCACAATCTGGGGCTGATATCAGAAAGAACAGTGAGTAATCAGCAATACTTGTTTCATAAAGGACTGGACATGTACATAGGTATGGAGAATATGAATAACTTTCAGAGAAGAAATAGTAAGCTTTCTTTTCAGAGATTAAATTAATCTAACTGTAGGAACAAGGTAAAATGTATTATAGCAGACAAATTGTCCCCCATTTCTACTGTGATTCCTTCTGAAACGTCTGGCAGAAGTTGCTGTTTGACACAGAGTACTTCTTTGAAAAATCTGCCTGAAGTCTGTACTGCATTTTGAAGAGCACTTCTTGAAAATGCTCATGCTTTCTGCTATTGTGGGGGAGGAAAGGAGGAGCAAGAATATTCATTCAGCCTTAAGAGGTTTCACATATCCCAGAAGAGTGTAAAGTGATTCTAATTTAATTGCTGCTGCTCAGATAGGTAGCACAAGGCATCCAGTATTGGAGACTTATCTCTGACCTCTTAATTGACCAGAGTGATTAGGTTGGAAGGCCTTTAGATTTTAAAATGGAGAAGAGATACAAAATGTGGATCACAAAGAAAGAGAGAGAAAATATAGTGCTGCATAACCTAATTTGTCTGTCACCAGCACTGGGTAGCTAACCTTTTAAGGAAAGTTAATTTGAGAAAGTATTTTTTTATTATTTCCATTTTCTCTTTTTGCAGTTTAACATGTTGATGGTATTATTTTCTATCTAGTTATTTCATGCAAATTACTAAAACGCAGAAGAATCCTGTAGCCATTTGCCAAGATTATTTAATGAACCAGCAATGCACGAGTGGTGTGCAGGTTGAACCAACAACACTCATCTTAAACATGATGCGAATTCCGATGACTTCAGGCTTAGATTTACTATTTGAAAAGGACACTCATCGAGCAACAAAATAGTGATTAGTAGTCATAATTCTTTTTAGAATTATAAACTACCTGATGAACAGAGAAATAAAATCAGCTGCTACTGAGCAGCAGTTACTACTAAGCTTTTGTTGACTAAATCATTGAGGATCATTTGGGACCATGATGATGTGAATCAGAAAAATGTGGACCACTTTGGAACATTTTGGAAGTCTGAAATATGTTGTAGAAAACAAGGCCTAAAATGCAATGACAGAAATGTATATAACCTTTTCTTCTAGTCTGTAGATTTCTCTTCCTCCATGAAAGAAATAGCTGAATGTGCTGTTGGAGTGGTTTGATTGGTTAAAGGAAGTTTTTTTCCACTTGAGAGCGATCAGTCATCCTTTTTCACCTTTCTTGTTCTTCTGTTCCTCTGATTGTTTTGCACATTTTTGACCACGCTATTTTGTTGTTCATATAGTTTTTCAGTCTCCTTCATCTGCATGTCATTCTGTATTCACTCGCTGTATTTTGTTTTGTCAGTAGGAATGAGACATTTTGACAAGGTCACCATGTACGACATGTCAGAAAGCTGCATTTTCTTTCAGTCTGGGATGATAATGTCTCACTGATTTTGCCTGATCTTATGGTAGAGATGTTTCTCTTGATGTTTCTTGATAATTTGTAATTTAATAACACCTGACCTGTCTTAATGTCCTGATTGAGACCTACAAAAGAATGTCAACCATATGTAGAGCATTAATATTTGTGGGATCTGGGCAGGATTGTTCTTTCTTGCTATGGGAGCTGATTTTCAGTCTTAAACTACAGTCTTAAGAAGAATCTTTGCCTTTATGGGAGGCCAGTACATTTGGGGGTTGGACTAGATGACCTTTAAAGGTCCCTTCCAACCCCAACTATTCTATGATTCTGTTACGTCTGAGGAGTGAAGTTGACATACGTGGTCTTTGCTATAGAAAGTTAGGTGATCTTTTGGATACTCTGAAAGACCACTGAGCTGTCTGAAGATAAGGAGGAAGATCCTGAATTCGGCTTAATCTTCTTTGGAAAAGTAGCAGGAAAGTAGGAAATTATTTTGCAGCAATTGTATCAGCAATTTAGCAGATACCAATACCAGACCTTATAGGAGGGAAAAAAAAATATTTAAAATAAAACCCAAAACAAAACAGGTCTCACTCACTCACACTCTGTCTCACGTTTGCAAGCACTAGAATGGGTGTGTGTCTAAGGAGTCTGTCCAGCAGTCAGGCACCCCCCATGCTTGTGTCCAGATGCCAGGTCCAGGATCTTCTGCAATGACATGGGGAGCATGGGATGCCAGCTGTCAAGTCTTCCTCACATCTCCTGGGTTCTTCATAGTTTGGCAACAATTTTCAGGTTTTAGATAAGCCTTTTTTTACCCTTATGGAGCTGCCAACTGTCTCTCTGTCCTTCCCCACCTCTTTGAGTCATCACTGTTCACTGTTTTCGTCTCCAAGGTCTGATTGTCTTGTGAAGATACACACATGCCTCTGGTCTTGATGACCTGATATAATCTATGTGCCATTAGCATAGGCCAGCCTAAGATGTCTTTTCCTGCTGTGTCTTTTCTTCTTGTCTGTCCTCCTTCTTCCTCCTTCCTTCTTTCCTTCTTTTCCTTCTTGTGCCTCAAATATTCCCATTCACTCTTCATTCTCACCAATCTTAGCCTTTCTATTGCAGTTCTCTACAAAGATGCTGTAGCTAATGATAGTTTCCTTATGAAATTAATATAATCCAGGAGGTGCTCCCATTTAAGATACAAATCCTAATTTCTTCTTGTGTTTCTATGGCACTACAGGGACTCTGCTCTTAAGTACTTATTCAGTATTCCTGAACAACCAGAACTCAAGTATTTGATTGAAATATTAATTGAGCTAGAGATCTTTGTGTGTGGATAGGAGTTAATTTTAGGAAGTTTCATGGTGTTATGGAGCAGATTAATCTAACCTGTGTAGACCCAGCTTTATTCACTTGTAGCTGCTGCTATGTAAACACTTCATATCAGCAACGATTGTAAGAGGTTATTAACTACAGACAAAAGCAATTATTTTAGGGTTATAGATCTTAATCAATAGTTATTGCATTGTGCAAACTCATCTTCTAATGTAAATGGGAGGAGACAGAAAACCATCAATATGACTAGAATTACCTTTCTAATAGTACATGCTTCAGGGCAGTGGTAAAACTGTTGTTCAGAATGCAGAGACATCAACTGGCACTGTTACCCTCTAAAAAGAGTGAGAAAAAAATTGCTTATGGATCGCTTTGTACACTGTCATCATATAAGAGGAGATCACAAAAAATAACACTTGTATATAATTCTCACAATGGCATCATCAATACAATTTGTATCACCAGTCTTTAAAATCCAGAGAGACTGAGGATTTAGACATATATGAACAAACTGTATAACTGTAAAAAATTGTTCAGCACCTTTTGATCCATCATATGCCATTATTTTTACACAGAAGTGTAACAAAATAATTACCAAAGGAAGTTCTAGAGCAAAATGTGGCCTTATTACCCTAAATAGTTGCATTTTCTTGCTCTTTTATTTGATCACAATGATTAATTTTAAAGAAAAGTGTATCTACTTAACCAGAAAATGTGTGTATGATGATGAAAATATATTTTTTAACATTTACAAATATGATTTGTTTCAAGTTTGTTTTTCACTCAGGTTTTCTACTGAAATAGACTTTTCAGGAGCAGTTTTTCATAGATAAACGGAAAAATGTAAATATAGTTGTCTGCACTATGACAGCTGTCCAGTGTTGAAAAAATATTAACTAATTGTCTCTGTAATATTTTCCTCCTTGTTCCCTTTTAACACATACAGCAAGTCTTTTAGTTTTGAGATTTGAAAAAAAGAGAGTGGTTTAAGATTAGGTGAGAATGTGTTTGTTTGAATGCAACGTTGTCTATATATATCTGATATTATGTCAGATTTTTTGTATGAAAGCCCTGTTCTCTTCTTAAAAGCTTCAAATTCTCAAGACTGCTTTTTAAACCTTATTTTTAAATGGACATGATATCAATATTGTGAAAGCAAGTATTTACTGTGTTACAATTTAGGTGTTCAATTTCCATCATGTGCTGTTGATTTAAATGAGTATGAAAGTTTTCCAGAAGGCTGAGTGCAAAATTACGTTTGTTAGTCAACTATATTTGCAAGACCAGTATGTGCATGGTATTGAAGACTCAACTACTATATTCAAGTGTTCAGGTGACTGGCAAAATAATTGTCATCTTAAATAACTTCAGTAAGGTCAACAAATTAACATACTCATTAAGACTGCACATGTATAGACTGCTAGTATGCTGGCATCATTTCCAACACTTAACATTTTCTTTGCAAATCTAGAGCACGGGTGATAGCGATGTTCACAACATATCAATAAAGTGGTGGGGTCTTTCCATTTTGTGGGCACTGAAAGACAAATTAAGTTTCTCAGAATCACATGAAGCTGCAGACAAAGGATAGGAGTATGGTTTTAGGGTCCATTAACATAGTCTTACCCTATTTCAGAAAGGTTAAGAAAATTGACACTATTATGTGTTCCTCAGCAACCGCATTATAACATGGCATAATCCCTTCATAAACAAAAACTCTTGCTAACACTGTTTTGCAGTTTTAGTAAGCTTCCATTTCTTTTTCCACAGGAGCGTGGTTGTACCAGTAAAGAAACCCCCTCCAGGTAGTCTGGCTGTTACCACAGTTGGAGCTGCCACGGCTGGGAGTGGACTGCCACCTGGTAGTACACCTAATATATTTGCTGCAACAGGAGCTACACCAAAAAGTATGATTAATACAACAGGTATTGTCCTTAAATATTTTTGTGACCCTCATTTTTTCTTGTTTGTTTTTTGTTTTGTTACTTTTAGTGGTGTTCTGTTTTTTGATCATCTTTTTTGTTACTGTTTTTGTACTTCTAAAATAAAACTGGAAAGATTAAACATTGGCCTTTATTAGAGCCAGTGTTTTCTCTTGGTGTATGTTTATAATCTTTGATAGTGCACATTGGACTTGCACAGCCTTAAATAAATGAATAAATAGCCTTAATACTGTTTTATAAGTGTAGTTTAGAATTGAAATGAGCTAACTTCTCCAGTGCTCTGCAGTAGAGGATGTTTGTATGATATATACCAATTAATCCCTCCTTATGCGTCAAAGAAAGTAAAGACAACTAGCTACTTAATAAATATATCGTAGATTGTGGAGGGTTAATATTTTGGGCAATTACTATTTGTCAATGAAAATGATGCCATGATTTTGGGAAGGTTTTTCAGTAAGAACCTATCTAATTTAACTGTAGTCGTGTCTTATCAGTAGTTGGTTATTGTGACCTATAGAAGGAGGACAAGACCTTCTTTTTTAATTATTTATAATAGTAATAATGGGATCGTCTATCATGAAGGAGCCTGTTGACCATGGAGACTGTGGTTTCCATTCAGAAATGAATCCTTACTGAGAGCAACTGATGTTTACTTAAAATCCTTTGAAATATCTGGCATGGTCTGTTTTCTTTCTAAACTAAGCAAAAGCACTTGAGAGAAGAGCTCTCTTCAAGGATATCACAACTTCAGTCAAGGGTTGAGAAAGTGAAAATCTCCCTGGGGTTGCAGAAAATGGAGGTGGAAGCTTTTGGCATCCTTCTGCTTCACGGAATATTTTGAAGACACACTCATTTTTTTTTCTTTCCTTTTGCAGATTTACCTTTAATACCTGGTAATAGAACTTTGATTTTTCTAAGGATAAAAAAAAATCATAAAATCTAATTATCCTGAGGCAGATGGGAGGAATGAATGCTCTGAATAATGTTATCACTTCTATGAACAGTTCCATTTGTGTAGTCACTTCTGTTAATCTTGAACGGATTTCCTTTTAGGTACTCTTATGTCATGCAAAAAATATCCTACATTGGAAACCTTGTTTTCCAAATGATACTGAATAGTGTATGCTTTTCAGTCTTCTCACTGATTAAAGATCTGAACTATTTTGGCTGGAATGTAGTAGCTTTTCTTTGTAAGTAATTGCATTTAAAAATCAGTCATTTCCCCGATACTGTTCCTAGTAGGGGACAGTATTGCAGATACCATGGTACATTCACTGTGGATTAAAGGCTGCTTTTTTTTGGTGGATCTTATAGCTGCTTTTTTTTTAATGCAACTGTTTTTGTCTCCTAGTCTATGGATTAGCTTGACTAAAGGAAAAGTATTGATTCAATGGAATTTCAGCAAGTATCAGATTTAATTAGAACTATATGTGTACTGAATTTCTTTAGTGATCTTATTTGGTAAAGCCTTTTATGCCTGAATTCATTTGAATGAGCTTTATTGATGAATTCTCTTAAGAAATAGTTTGAAAAGTCCTTCCCCTCCAACCTTTTTTAAAGATTTGAATATCAACTTTTCAGAAATGCTAAACACATTAATGACAGTAAAAAAAAGTAGTATCACATTGAAAACATATAAATACCTATTAGATTAAAATGCTCATTTTGCCATTTTTAATTAAGCTATGCCTACGGTAGTTAAAACAGTGATTATGTATGTCAGTTTTTGAGATATAGATATGAAGTATCCAGATACTTTCTGGTTTATATACTTGTAGTCTGTGAAATTATCTATGTTATTAATGATTTTGAAGTAGTGTATAGAATTTCATTGAGCAGCACTTTTTTTTTTTTTACTATGGTAAAAAAGAAACAGTATACAATTTTTTAGAAACACTAGATGTCCCCCCAAACCTATTTACAGTTGTTTTTACAGTATGCCACAGATACTCTAGAAATACAGTTTTATCTTTGAGGTATATTCTGTGCTGGACTTGTGCGAAAGGTGTTTTTTTCAGTTATTCGTGGATTGCAGTCAGTGTTTACATTCCATCTGCCATCGCTGTCATAGTCGATGTCACTGTCACGATGTAATGAGATGTATGTTACTGAAGTCCTTTTAGTGCTTTGAATGTATCTTTTGGGAGACAGGTTTTCTTCCTTCATTTCTTTATGTAAGAAACTGGTTTTATAGGTTTTAGATTGGATTTCTGTAATTCATAGCCTGATTTTCAAGTCTATGTTAATCCAGTAGTTCTAGGTCTGTTTGACCTTCTCTTCAGGGAGCCTAACTGGTTAAACAACCTAGCAACTGCATTTTTAGACAACTACCTTAATGAAGAAAATTTGACTTTGGAAAGAAAAAGGAAGAAGCAATAAAAATATGTTACCTATGTATATATGAATATAAATATGTAAATAATATAAATATGTAAATAATATAAATACATGCGTGCACGCACACACATGCACACATATATATATGAAGCCTTAATCTTTTTTAAGCTACCCTATTCCCAGCTAAGTTGCTGTGATTCCTAGGTTGGGAGACATAGCCTACTTTATATTTTTGGTGTTTCCTTCTCAGTGTGTTTGGGTACATTTACCATTTGTATTTAGTCCAACTCAGAACCCACAGTGTAAGCCACAATCCACCTCCCACTCGCATCATTAAAACAGCAGACTAAATCAGTTCCTAGTCTAAATCCTGAACCTCACCAGCTACTCTAGTGTCAGCAAGCCCAGCAAATCCTGCTGCATTTTGACACTATTTTGAATGTAAATTTTCTTAAATGAGCCAGTCAGAATTCTGATCTTTACCTTAATTCTTTTATCAGTAAAAATTATTTAAAGGCAAATTTAAAAAAAAAAATCATCCCTGCTGCCAGAGAATTTTGCACCATTACCAGCACTTGACCTCTACTTCACTGTCAGCTGGCTGCTTAAGAAACCATAAATGCTTTGTAGAGCTTTGCAGGAAACTGAAAAATAATATATACCTGTGTAATGCAAAGGACAGTGATATTTCAACTGCTAAAACTGACCAGCAACAGGGAGTTACCAGTTATCATGTTAAAAAATTGGCACAATAATGCCGTTGATCTCTTAACTGGGGTTCTCCACCCCTCATTGCGAACTTGGATAAATCTTGCCTGTCGCCCTCATCTCTGGTAGCATTGCAGTCCCTTAGGCTTTGGACACCTACAAGACCGTTTGCTGCTACCTCTCTTGCAGTGACATGTCGCACAAGGACTGTGCAGCAGAACAGGGACAGCATTTATCACAGTGCTCTCATTACTGTTCATGGCCACTCTGAGCCTTTGCTGGTTTGCTTCAGAGAGGCTGAACTCACAGCACCGTTTCAGCAAACATGATAGATTGGCATTTAGAGTCTAAGTTTAGCCCTTAGCTCTGACCCAGATCACATAAAGTATAAATGTATGCTCTGTCTGCATCTTTTCTCTGGGCAGCTGTTCACAACCCATTGAAATGATACCCCCACTGCCCTCCCTACTTTTAAGATCTTAAAATTCTCCTTGACTTGAGGAAGGAAACAGAAAAAGTAAAATTAAAGTCTTAATACTCCTCAGACACTAGTTTCCCCCATTACTTCCTGAAGCAATATACATTTTCTATCTTCTCTGTCATTTTTTAATTTGCATTTTATTTTCTGCCTGTAGTTGCAACTGGGCAGCCAAGAAGTGCGTGCATATATATATATTTAAAAAAATAGTTAAAGTTCTATTCTCCACTCAAGCTCATCTTAAATATACCTTTATTTTAGAAAGATCTTGCTTTACAGGATGATGTAAAAATGTTTTCATCTTTGGAATATAATTTGGGAATAATGAAAATGAGGTAAGGATTTATTTTGCCTGATTTTCAATAGCTTTTTAAGCTTATTATTGTTATACTAGCAAAATAAGGTATTAATTTATATGATAGTCTTATGGAATGGTTTTAATTGTTTTAGAATAAATAACATTATTTCCTTACTTAAAAGTAGATGAATAAGACAAGGACTATATTAAAAGTCTCTAAAAGTTATGTTTCTTCAGACTGAATTAAGACCTGTATTTTTTGGGGGACAGGTGCAGTAGACTCAGGATCTTCTTCTTCCTCTTCGTCATCCAGCTTTGTGAATGGTGCTACCAGCAAAAATCTCCCAGCTGTCCAAACTGTTGCTCCAATGCCAGAGGATTCAGCTGAAAACATGAGGTATACAAGTTCTATCTTTTAATATTAATTATAATTTCTCCTCCCACAACAACTTCATACATACAAAATAGTATAAAAAGAAAAAAGTATGTAAAAATATTTTAGCGCATTTAATATGCATTACTGTAGCTATTAATGTGGTGCAATATGTATTTGAACACTTTTTTGGTACTAAAATACTTCACTGAAAAGCCTACTTCTAAGAACTATGCCAGACACTAAAACTTCATTAAAAGTGATTTTTGAGTTGACTGGCTTTTTGCACTGCTCAATAATCACAGTAAGAATTGGAATGCAAGCACAACTTGGCAATGGAGCACTAGCAAGTGGAAAGAGAGACACAACCTCTTCTGCGCAAACAGAAGACCTATTTAAACTGGAGAGGACAAAACCAAATGTATTTGTGCAGCTAACTAAATGGCGCACCAGGTCTGAGTTGGTGTTGCAAGAGACACATGCCATGGGATAGCTAATGCCCCTCTTACACTGACTAGCAGCCAGGAAAATGCCCTCTTAAATTCCTGTTAAATACCTTTGTATAATAGGTTATTATTTTGTAAAGGTGTTCAGTTGTGCCGCAGCACACTTCAAAGACAAATTTTTGACCTTTTCAAGGTGAACACCTGTCTGCCCCAAAAAGCTGACACAGGGTATACTAAGGAGTTGCCAAGTGTCCCTTTGTTGGCCGGCCACTTCAAGGTATGGTTTTAGGAAGACTGGAGAGGAGACAGCAACCAAGCTAGCTGTTCATGAGCTGAACAGCAGTATCTGGATACTTCATATGTTAGGACAGTGCTTCGCTGAGGGTGAAATATTTTCTAAAATTCAGATACTGAAGTATGTTAAAATTAAATTGGATCGTTAATCAGTTTATTTTTCAGTAATTTTAACCAATGCAATGTTCTTGTTTTTTCACAAGCATTTTGAAAGTTTTTGTCCTGGAGTCAAAGAAACACTTCAGTTGCAAAATCTAGAATTCAAATTTTGAACTCAGAATTTGAACTCGGAAGTCGTTGTACTCTGAATAGTAACTGAAATTAGCGACTGAAAAAACTTATGTGGAGCACAATATCAGAAATGTAGATGAATTGAAATCTAATCAACCCAAGAAATGCCTTTTGGGCTTTTTTCCCTTTTTTCCCTTTTCTCCCCCCCCCCCCCCCCAAGAAACAACTAAAACTTTATTTTGATAATAGATAATTTTTGGTTTTCTCACTTTGGATTCATTGTGCTTCAGCTTTTATGAGATTAAAAATCAGAGTTGTTTATGGGCTCAGAGAGCATGAAGTGAAAGCTAACTTATCTAAGCCTTCCCTTGTAGCAGCTGCGTAGGAAAAGAGCTGCTAATGGCTGTAGACTAAGCACAGGAAAGTGAGCAGGAGAATGATCTTGGACTTTTAGACATTTAATGGTCTTGATCTGGAGGTAGAGGTTTGGCCTGAAATGAGGTTGGGAAGGTAGCATACTTGGGACTGGGACAGTGTGTGCCCCCACCTCTCTTTGCACTTTCTTGTGACCAATTCAAGCAATAGGTAGTAACAACTGTCCACAGGATTATTTGGTCTTTTTACTCACAGTTTTAAAAGTATTTCTTTTAATCTGATGTTGCTACTGTGCTTTCAATCTTTTCTGTCCCAGTTTATCACCTTTATGTATAGAGAAATTATATTTACATATATACATAATTTATTTTCTGATGTGTGTTGCCTTTAATCTGCAAAATAAATAATCTTGAATTTAGAAGCTATTAAGAGATTATTTGCCTTGAATGTCCAGAAATGGAGAGGAAAAAACACAATATTCATTCTTTATAAAAAACCCTTAAAATCTCTTAGTTCAGTTGTGAAAACTAGTTACAATAATCTCCACAGGGAGTTCCCTAATGATTGCAGGATGCATTATAATGTATAATAGATGTTAGAAACAGCTGTAGAATCAGATTGGTCTCTCTCCTCTTTTTCTCTCCTCTCAGTGTGCTTACAGGAAAGGCAGTACATGGGCCATCTCCTTCCCTGAAACATTTTTGGGGTCTCTTGTTATTTGTAATATGTTTTTTTCTTAATTTTGCTTGTTCTTTTTGAAACTGAAGGACCGGAACTCCAGTCAGTTTCCAACATGTAAATGTGCCAGGGATTTATATGAAGGAAAAAGGATTTTTTTTTCTTTTTTTCTATTTAATTTTTAATTTCTGTCCTTTGATATGCATTTTTTAACAGTGCTAAACTTTGATCTCACATTTTCACAGAATACTATTCCCAATTGCCTATGAATAGATCCATAATATACAAGATCCATCAGCTATTCATTTAATAACAAGGTGTTTATTAATAGTTCATCCAAGGTGTTGATTAATAGCACATCCATACCTCCCATATTACTTGATTCTTAAATAAAAATTGATCTTAATTTAAAAACTTTTGAACTTGAAATTTTTTCAATTGTATGTACAGTTTTCAGAGTTAAATGAACTCTAAAATTAGGCCTTTTAAACGAATTTACAGTGAAAGCATGTTTTAAAACATGGGTTAGAGAAGTCTGGATTAATCTAGTATGTTTTTTATCTCTAGCAGCAAAAGCTTGGTGTAGATTCATGTTGCGAATTAAAAACTCTAAGCTTGTCACATGTGTTTCAAGCATAGTCAATAGAGGCTTTAGCATAGTGAAATTCACTTCAACTAATCATCTAAAACAAAGGCTGATGATATGAATCCCTCCTTTAGAATATTATAAAATCAATATCTGAATTTGAAATGAGAAAGCAGCACATTGAAAGAAAATAAACTATAGGAATTCAGTAAAATAATTTTAAGCTAATGAAGGAAAACTTCCAATGTGCTTATAATGTCAGCTTTCTTTTTAAATCTAGGGATCTTCATGTGATCTGAATTAAAAAGGCCACTTTTATTTAGTGTTTGTAGATAGTAGATACAGTATAAAATTTAAATGTCAGTGTTCGTTCTCTTAGATTCTGTCAATAAATGTAATTTCTTCCTATAATTGCGCTTTTAAATGCCAATAATATTTTGGTGCCATAATTCAAGCACAAAGAAAACCCTTTCAGCCACCGGCAGTCTGAAAAAGAACAGCAAAAATTCTTGGTAGACCAGAATATATATGTAATTTCATTTCTATTTTTAAGTAACAGTTCACTTCTTTGAGATAACACAGCAGGTTTTTAATCTTGGCATAAGCATTTCAGAGGGCACAAGTAGTATGCTCTGTCAGGTTTTAAGAGGGAAGAAGGACAAGGGTACAATCCTTAGCGCGCTGCTGATTTGTATCCTTGTATTTGTATTTTTGCTAGGTTTGTATCCTCAGAAAAAGGAATATTATTTCTGGCATTTAAAAAGCAAACGGAAGTCACAACACTTCTCATTGTACGAGTAGAAATTAAGGATCACTTAATACAGTCTCAGCAGGCAGAGAAGTATAAATGCAAAGGCAAAGTGATTTACCTGGGATCATGTTCCCTCAAGGTTGAAGAAAAGAATACTGATTTTCTTGATACCTGTGCTAGAACGCTTCCTCATGCTCTCCCTTGTGTAGCATTGCAATGCCAGATGTCATTATCTGAAAGCTTGAACAAAAAAGCAAGTTACATGTGATTGCCGTGGGTGAATAAAAACTTCTCTTTTCAAGCTTTCAAATGTATATAAAATTATGAGGCGTATAAGCTGAGATAGGTGAAATAGACTTACACTTGAATATCTGACGTTCTTCTTATCGTGTTTGAGAATAAAAATTTTACTTGTTTTAGAGTATTCTGTAAATGCTGTAGAATTTATGAGGCTGCTACACTGCTGACTCTGACATGATATTTGCATTTACTTGAAGCCATTTAAACACTGTAAACTTTAATCAAATGATCATCCTCTTTTCTAAAGAAGCTTACAGTAACTTTTAAAAACAGGTTTGATTTGACATCATTTAACTTCTATTGTTAAGTGTTCTTCCAAACATGGTCTCTGTTTTTCCACAGTATCACTGCAAAGCTTGAAAGAGCTTTAGAAAAGGTGGCCCCTCTCCTGCGAGAAATTTTTGTTGACTTTGCCCCTTTCCTATCCCGCACATTGTTGGGCAGTCATGGACAAGAGCTGTTGATTGAAGGTACTGTTTCTGTTATAAAATTATATTATTTCAGCTATTAGTCATTTGATATGAACAATGTTTCATTTTCACAAGACTTTATATAAGTATTTTTGATAAATAAATGAATCAGTTGTTGATGTGTTGTGATTTCACTTCCTTGCATCTAACTTCATTTAAAGCATTTAAAAGTGATAGCTTTTGTATCCCTTTTTTCCCCTAAGTGAGATGCTGTGTAAAGATACATCTTGTCATTTTGGAATGCAAAAACCTCTGTATAATTTGATTTTTCCTCCTCAGAATAATTATATTAGTATAAGTCTTTCAGCCTGAATACGAGAAACTAGTGAAAAATAGAATTAAAAAGTGTAACCAATTCCCGTGGAAGAAAGTAAATTGAAGACTGTGCTCCAACATTATTGAAATGTGCATCTAGATTTGGTAGGGACACTATTTGCTCAGGTGGGTTCACACAGGCAGATAAAGAGTTCTACCTAACGGGAAATAAAAAGTGATGATTTTTTAAAGAAAAGTATCCTTGAACACTTTCAAGGATTTTTATGGGGTTTTATGTGTTGTCTTTACTACTTCATAGTAGTAAAAATACTTCATATTTTGGGGGAAAATAATGAATCCTCATAAGTGAGGCAGTAAGTAATGCAGAATTATGCAGAAAGTGCAAATGCGGCAAGCTCATCAGAAATTGCTAATGCAGTTAAAACAGTGATGTGGGAATTTGCATGAACATGCACTGATCCCACATCATATATCCATATATATTCAGTCAAGTAAACTTTTTCCTTCCAGAATTGTTCTTACACACAATATTGCTGTTTAATGAGACGTTTACGGTTGGACTCGATGATCTTAAAGGTCTTTTCCTAAGAACCTAAACAATCCTATGATTCTATGAAGAAGTCTCATTAGGGCAAAGCTTATAGCGTGTGAAGGTCTACGCAGAAAAAAACACAGCTTTGTGTTCAAATTCCAAAACTCCTATTATACATGTGTTTTATCTAAATATTAGTGTACATTCTTTCTATGGTCTCAGTTACTATTCCCCACAACATTGGCCCTCTTTTATTCTTAATGCTAGAAATATTTGCACCTTGTAACCGAAAACTTCTAAATAGCCTTTTCCTTTTTTGTCTAATTATTGTCTAATAATATTATTGTATAATAATACCAAGGAATGGTATAGTAGCTTAGAAATTCTCAGCAGCTTCAGGTTTTTTATACTGTTTATTTTATAGCTATGAGTAAGTTGCAGTTCTCATTTAATGACACCTGAAGTTAATGGTCTGGGATGCTCATTGAGAACATTGAGATAGCTCTAAGATAAGGATTCCATTCTTAAGTCTCTTATTTCAGTGAAGTTGATTGCAAAATTTGTAGCAGTCTTATCCTTTTCAGTTTGACAGTTGATTATTGGCACTATAGTTTTTATACAATACAAATAAAATTGTCTTGGTTTCACCTAAGCTCTTTTATAGATTAAAAAAATTCTTCACCAATGCTGTTCTGACTTTGTCTTTTGGTCAGATTCATGGTGTGAACAAGGCTCCAACAGTTCCCAGCATATGACAAAGACTGAAAAGCTAGAGGCCACAGGAACCTCAAGACTATATGGCAGTATGAGTTTATCTCATTACCTGTCCAGACAGAGGCATGGTTTTGTTGGCTGTAGCATTCTTCAGATACCCACTTGGACTGCTGTTCCAAATTTTGTCACTTCTATGACTCAGCCATCCAATTCAGTCTCGGCAATCATTGTTTGTGAACCAAACACCAAGTTCCAAAATAAGTACTGTCCTTCCCATCACGTTTCCTTAATGTTATGTCTAACCTTCTCTTTAATCGCTGTCTTGTTCCCAGTTTCTAAGAACCAGTCCTTTCTTCCCAAGATATTGAAATAGCAATCTGTAAAGAAAAAAATCCAAACACAGCTTAGATTTTTACACTGCATGCCTCAGGACCTGAATTTCTGTTTGCTCCCTCTAAAATAGTTGGGCTTTTTTTCTTTTTGACAGAGAACTCAGCTGCTTTTATAGTCATTGCGTACTTCTCATCTTTCTTCCTTGCCTGCATGAGACCCTTGATCTCAACTAAACTGAATTCTTGCCTAGTTAAGTTCCCTTTAAAAGGGAATTCTAAATTCTCTCCTAGTCCATTACCTGATTTACTTTGATAAATTTCCTGTCATTGTTTAGTGAAAGCCAATGGTGGTCCTTGAAGTGCTTGAAAGGGCTCTCCATGTAATGACTGCAAAACAGAGGGTTTTAGTGGCGTGATTCAAGATATGTGAGTACACAGAATTCCTGTGAGGCTTTGATAATTTAAACTTGATTTTTACTGGCAAGCAGTAATTAGCTTGACAGTTTTATATGAAATAGTTTAATTTGTTGCTTTATGTGTAAAGGTTTTAGTTACAACAATTAAAAAGGAGCAAATAAACTTTATTTAATCAAGTCTGAAGGCGCTGTCTGTTTTTCAAACTGATCACCACAGAAGTATCTGTTGCATTCTATAAAGCGTGTCCTTTTCTTCTGATTATTCAAATTTGAAACATAAAAGTACCTTCCCTCCTCTTGCTGTCTTTCAAAACCTTCGTATGGTATGAAGCCTTTCCCCTATCAGATTTTGCTAAAATCTGAATACCTTCAGGCATCCTTGATGGCATGTGCTTTTTTTCTGAAGCTCTCTTTAGCGCTCATGTGCATGCGTGTATGTAAGAATTACTAAATCATTTCAGAGTTGGTAAGAATATGCGCAGTTTTGTAGCTGAGGTTTTGCATACTGAAGAAAGAGCACAAAGTAAAAGGGAACAGGAAAAAAAATCATTTTAATACTTCTAAAACAGGTTAATTATGCAAACTTTTCAGAATATCTGATGCTTTGAGATAGGTGTTGTTAATAAGTATTTGGAAATGTGTATGCAACTTAGTTACGATTTCTACTTTTTGTAGGAGTTGAGCTGACTTGAACTTTTGGTGAAAAATCTTGCAGTCATACCGTGCCACCTCGTTTTCCTTTAGCTTGTATCATCATTCTGTCCCACGGAAGACTGGCTGATTTATTCTTTGAGGAAATTATATTTGCCATCTAAGCAGTGGTTTCTTAACTCTTGAGTGGAGTTGAAATAAACTGGCTGCAATCACCTGGTCAGTCTAGACCAAAAACTTGGACGACTCATACTCAAAATTGTTAATTTTTCACGTTCGTTCATGTAAATTCCAAAACCTGACTGGTAACAGAGGAACTCCATCAAGTAGTAATCTGACATTGCGGAACATATTGATTGGTAAAACTCTTTGTCTATTTACTTACTGAAATAGTACTCATTTTTGCCCCTTTTTCCAGAACCAGTTCTTTCTTCAAAGATATCTTACTATATTCCAAATATTTCAACTTCCCAGAATAAGTGTCCTCCATGATAGGTTAAAAAGGACAAATTTGATTTGCAATCGAATTCGAATAGTTTCAAATGGAGTATGTACCAAAACCAGCCCAACACTACTGCGGTTCATCAACTGAGGCTCTTTCAATGCCTCGGAGAACAGAAGTTGCAAAGGTTAAAATTGTCCGTATAGAATCTAATTGGATACAAACATGCAATATGAGTAGGTCACATATTTAAGCTTAGCAATGCTCATTGTAGAGTTCCATTTAACACTTCCACAGATATGTTTTCACTAACTCTAGTTTCCATATGGTCTGCAAATTCCCTCCATGTAAAGTGCATTACAACATTCTAGCTTTTAGGTGAAAATGTTACAGGCAAGTGTAATCTGATCTGTATCTGAAAGAAAAGTTATATCCTCTTTTTGTCAAGCACAGATGGGTAGAAGTATTTTCACTACAGCTATTCTTGGAGTGTCCTGAACTGTTACAATAGGTCCAAGATGGAAACATAGTCACATACAATGCTTTCTCTCCTCTTTACTGAGATACCAAATAAACATTACCAGTGCTTTTCTTTTTCCTATATCATTACCTGCATAGAAGGGTCAGCCAGGTAGACATTTTCCAAAAGAGCTCTTATGAATTCTTTGGCGTACATTTGATATGTTTCTGAAACACACACAATTCAAATCAGATGAAACACAAAACGTTTTCGTGCTGATAGGAGCAGAATCTGTTTCTCCTCATTAACTCACCACATGGCCCTATGAAAATACTCAGTAGAAGTGATGATGGACTAGTTTTGTATGGTATTTGACAGGACGCTTCTTGAAACAATTGAAAAATTGCCCAAAACATTCCTTTGGAAACCACAGCTAGAACTTGGGTGCTAAATGACACTACTTTAAAACCCCCCAAAGACCACAGGTGTGGCATCACTGTGGCATCTACCAATGCTGGCACAATTTGTTTCTGATTTCCTCAGACAATACCTAGTTTTGTATTAGGAAGGAAAAGGTAATCATTTTGCTGAGATACTGTAGAAGTCGGAAAATCCCTTAGACTTTCTGGAAAAAAAGTACTTTTTGGTGCTTAACATGGCCCTTGGCATTCTCTTAGAAACTTTTCAGAACCTTTGTATTATATTTGTGCTCAGGAGCACAGATGCTATAAAGCAAAGAGATTGCATGCTCTTGCAGAACTTTATTTTCCTGCTCATATTGTTCTGTCATTTTTTTATCTCACTCTGCCACATCCAAAATATTTCTGTTTGTGTGTCCAGGCATGTTTTCTTTCAACTAATCAGACTTGGTAATTGCTTACCAGTCTGTAGCACAGCATGTAGCCAACATTCTGAACAAAATAAATAAATGAATAAATATTAGCAAGTAAGAGAGAAAGGGGATAAAAAAATAGTGTTATAATTTTAAAATTTGCATTAACTGGAATTAACAGCATATAAGTAAAAACTGAAGCTATTCATAGTGCTGAAATTTCTATGAGCCACTTGTTTATCCTACTTTGATATTTTTATTAACAGTCTTGATTTTGGTGCAGAATTGTTCCTGGCAAAGCTAACTGCTTAGACAGAGGTATACAAAATGAGAAGCAAAGGCATT